TGAGAGAATTTTTTTTCCAAGAGAAAAGCGAACTAGGGGGATGGCATGGGCAGGGAGGAAAATGTGCAACAGCGAATGAATAAAAATCCTTGATCCCTATAAACTTTCATTAAAATCTGAATTTTAAAAAAGTATTTAGCAAATAAATGTTAATGTAGAATAATATTTTATTGATATTTTCACCAACAGAGTAAGTGATAAATAATTACTTGAATAAGTAATTTTATATTTGAGTGGATTAATGCCTAATACCATGTCTATCTAAAGAACTTCCTGTCTGATTTTATTTCACATGACTTGACACAAATTGAATACGTGGTGAATTTCCAATAATTAGGGGATAATATATATTTTTCCAAAATTGTTTGTCAAAATTTTACTACCTTTAGTAAGTAGTCTCTCAGTTAACTTTTTACATTTCTCAAAACTAGAAATATTTTTTCTTTATGTTTTCATGCTTCAAAACAAATTTTCGTCAGTTATCCTGTATTAATATGCACATATCAAGTATAAGCTTCTCTTTTTGTTATTCCAGCTGAATTGAAGAAGTTATGGAGCACAGAAACAGGACCAAGGTCACTGAGTTCATCCTTCTAGGGTTTCAAAATGAGAAAGGTGTAGAAATATTTCTGTTTGTGGCATTCCTTCTCATGTACATGACATCTCTGATTGGCAACACCATGATTATCCTTTTGGTGTGTGTCGACTATCGTCTGCACTCACCTATGTATTTTTTTGTAGCCAATCTTTCTTTTCTTGAGGTCACCATCACCTCTACAGTGGTGCCAAAGATGTTAGCCAACACGTTTTCACTAAGAAAAGTGATATCTTTCTCGGGATGCCTTACACAGTCTTTCTTCTACTTCCTCCTGGGATCCACAGAATTCTTCATCCTGGCTGTCATGTCCTACGATCGTTATGTTGCAATCTGCAACCCACTGAGATATACTCTCATCATGAACAAACAGACATGTATATTATTGCTTCTGGGATCCTACGTGGGTGCATTTTTTTCCATTTTCCCATCATCCATCTTAACTGCACCTTTGCCCTTTTGTGGGCCAAATGTAATCAACCATTTCTTCTGTGACAGTGCTCCAGTGCTAAAGCTTGTGTGTGCAGATATCTCCCTGGCTGAGCTGGCTGACTTCATCTCCTCTGCAGTATTGCTTTTGGGATCTCTACTCCTAACAGGAGTGTCTTATACCTACATTGTCATCACTATCCTTAGGATTCCCTCAGTCAAGGGGCGGCAGAAAGCATTCTCCACCTGTTTTTCCCACATCACAGTGGTTACACTTTATTATGGGAGCTCCATCTTCATCTATGTTCGTCCAAAAAAAGGCAATATTATGGACGTTAATAAATTTGCCACAGTGCTGAATACTATAGTAACGCCAATGCTAAACCCCTTCATCTACAGCCTGCGGAATGAGAAAGTCAAAGAATCCTTGAGAGATGTCTTCAATAAATATGTGTGCAGGATTACAAATTTAAGATGTGAAAAATGATACATACTCACTGTTGTCAAGTTCATTCTGATACATAATAGCCTTTCAAGAGGTTTTTAAAGTTTAAAATATTCATTAAAGGAGATACCTATCTTCCTTCTGTGGAGTAGCTGGTAAATTTGAACCCTTGACGTTTTGGTTAGCAGCAAATTACATTACTTACTAAGCCACCAGAGCTTTGATATCTTATAGAAATCAATGAATCTTCATATCTGGCACCAAAATCACATTATTGTGCAACTTTTCAAAGATTAATATTCATGCCCAGAAGAGAAAATTAGGAGAACATATATTCTATTTCTAGGACTTGTTTCTAATCCCTATCCAGTTTTGGCATAAATAGAGGTCCTACCTATTTGTACAGATCAATAAAGACCTAATCTATTTTCATAGATACATAAACATAAAGCTATTAATATATGTGCTATCATTGTTTTTCCCAATTTACCTCTACTTTGAGTCTTTTAAAAAATAATATTCTTGAAAAACTTTGTTGTGAAAGCAAGTAAGCCCTAACTGGAGAATTTTGCTTACATAGGTCTTCAGTTCCATTTTAATATTTTATCATTTTCTTTAAAAAAATTTAAATAATAATATATTTTTAGTTGATATATAGTATCCTTTTAAAATTAAGTGATATTAAAGATGTTTGAACTCATGTGTGAAACACTGCATTCATTTTAATTATGCTATTGGTTACTAAAATGTTTATTTTGTATGTTAATAACTCACAGTTCTAGAGTAGTTACAATTTAAAGCTGGTAAATCTATAACTCTCTGCAACAAAAGTGTACAACTAACTCTGGCAATGGAATTATATTTATAATCCTATATAAAGCTAGATATTGATTAGTACAATGACTTGTATTTTATTTATTAATTTATCTTTACTGTTTTGTGGCTTCTGACTTATTTTACTCTATATATCTATTTCAAATATTAACTCCCTTTTGTTAATAAAAATAAATATTTAAAGATATATGTTGTTGTTATTGTTGTTGTTATGTGCCATCAAGTTGCTTGCAGCTCATAGCGACCCTATGTACAACAGCCCTAAACCCTGCTCTGTCCTGTGTCAATCGCACTGTCTCTGACACACCCACC